GCTCCTACCCACACACAAGGTGGTGCACAACCTTTTATGGTTAGCATGTTGTGGCTCTTAGTTGGGAAGAATTGGAAGTGCAACCTTCTGAATGATGATTTAGTTGAGGATAAAATATTCTCTGGTTATCACTTTGTGGCCTCACTGATCTTGGATAGGGTGCTGACTGTATATCCCCTCTACCCTCCCATCCTGTTCAGGATTGTCCCCTGGGCTTAGACAAGGGAGTTTGATTTGATAAGTATTTCCAATTTCCTATTATTTCAACTATTTTCTACAGAATGTTGGACCTTCTGCCTCAGGTCCTCTATGCCTATGTGCGCTTCTGGATCTTGTCAATGCATTAGAGGTGAAGATGGGGCTTGTATCCCACCATCACCTCCACATTATATCTCATCAAACCAGAAGCTAGAGATGTCATATTATCAAGGGTATACAGACTGACAAATTCAGCTGTGTAATAGCAATGGGTGATATATAGCTGCTATTGAAATGCAGTTGTTTTCGGTGTGGGTAAAACTAATTTTAATCACCCATTGCTATTACTGAATATCATTCTCCCACCCAGGTCTGATTCCCTGGCATAATATAGTCCATGAAAAAATGACTGTTTTAGCTCATGCACAAGTGGACATTGTCTTATTGACAATTCTCAGTGTGGGAGGATGTATTCACATTGGTTGGCAGGTCTTTGTTGACATGAGAAAGTAATAAACTATGAAATAGTGATGGGTAGGTACTGCATAATTAAAATTAGTTTTTCCTCCTTTCCCAAATTACATTTTGAAACTGATCAACCAATCAGAAGAACTGCTTGGGTGGGCTTATCACATAGGACATTACTTACCTAGCATGAAGGTTTGCTAGAATGGTTTATCATCAGATAAATATGATAAGTCGTTTTTGCTTTTTAGCAGTAGAACGTGTGTGCATCAGTGTTTGGCATGAAATGAGTGGTACAGGAAGTTATGCCTTTTTTTTCAGGAAAATTCTGTTCCATTTAATCTACATGAAACTTTGAATTTCCAACTGCAAGGCTGTAGATACTATCAGGCCATGAGATAGTGAGATTCTCGGGAAGAACCCTTTACATAAAAAAAATTGTAAATGAGGTTAGTGTTTCTTGTACTTCAGGGGTACAACCAGTATGTAAGAGGTGGCGGCATCATGGTCTCCCTCAACAACAGATCATGAGTGGTAGCATATCTCAGGAGACAAAGAATAACACATGTACCTTCTCTACATGGAGGTTTGGAACCTCCTTCGCTGGACAGATTCAGAAGGAATATTCCTTTCAGTTCACTACATTCCATGTTTACAAGTCCCAGACCAGAGGGCCTGGCAGTGGATACATTCTGTTTGTATTCTTCCCTTCCTTCAGGATTATCCCATAGGTCATATACATAGCCAGGCACTCCACTGCTAAGCTCAGTTTGATTGCCCTTTTTTGGCTTTAGTGATTGTGAATTCACTGATCTTCTCAAACTGCTGGTGGATCATCACAGGGCCTTACCCAAGAGGGACATTCTGTAAAAGCACAGGGGCTGTCTCCTCCACAGCAGCTTACAGATTCCCAACAATCTTGCTTGGCTCATCTCAAATGATCTCTCTGCAAATTTTTTTTTTAGCCAAGTCGCCAAGTACATCATTCAGTCCAGGAGAAGATCAACCTCTAAAATATATTATGCCAAATGGAGAGTGTTTTATGATCGGTTTAGTATAAAACATAATTATAGCTGTCCCTCTGTGAGCAGTGGCCAATTTTCTTCTCATTCTTTTTGAAGAGAAACAATTTTCTCTGTTTCTACTATTAAGTCCCTGCTATTGGGATGGATTCTCACTTAGATAACTTGATCAAGTATTTTGAATTGCAGAGACCAGTGTCTTGTTCTCTAATACCTAAATGGAATCTGTCGTGTATTGTAGTCTCTAAATAATCCCGCAATAAACTTGGGGTGAAGCTTCCACTGAAAACCTTACTTGGAGACCTGAAGATGGTTTTGAAGACGTATTAGTGAGCTTCATGCTCTAGAGTAGGGCTGTATTAGGTTCAATTGAAATTATGAGTCAATTTCTCTCATTTGCCATCCAGGTGTTTTAGCAACAATGCAGCTTCCTTATGTTGCTTCACTCCCAGTTGAGATCCCCAGTCTCAGCAGTACATGTATCTGTGCTGTTACTGTGATAAACTTTTATGTTAGGGTTCAACATATTTACTTGGCAACCCTCAAAGGATGAAGGTTACAAAGTCTTCTTCCATCCATGATAGGTTAAGCTGATATTTCTGGTGGAGCGCTTTAACAATCAAGAGAGCTTACTGGTTCCTTAATGATAGGGACCTATCTTTCATGAAAATCAAGGCACATGAGGAGGTTTGTGATATTGCTGCCTCATGGATTTACATGACTTGTTCATCTTTGTAGGATGTGATGAGAACCACATTTTGACACTCTCACACTGCTTTTGGCTTCTTGTTTCTTTGCTCGTTAGCCCATCAAAGTGAAGGCATTTTTATACTGTGGCAAATCTTTGCTTTGTAAATGTCTCACATGGATTCCATCTCATAATAGTCTCCTGTGTATTTGTGAGAATTAGTATTCCTTGTGTTTACTTTTTCCATTTGTCAGTTTTGGGATTATGAGATTTCTCACCAAACTGATTAATTCAGCTATTCAACAGCAACAGGTATGATATGATTTGTATTAAAATGTATTTTTTTGTGTGGAGTGGGGTAAAACTAATTTGAATAATGTAATACTTAACCTGCAGCTATTGTAGTATTCCCTCCAATCTTGATGCATATGTCATATTTTAAGCAGTTTTCTAAAAATAATGAAGAGGGCCTTCACAAATGCCTGAGATGTATAGGGTTCACTTTGTGCTGATGTAGTGTTCTGAAAGTTTCTGGTTCACCCTAATGAATGGAATTTTTGTCATAAGGTTGGGTATTTCCTTCCTGAAAAGTAGTAGTATAATAGGTAACTATCACTTCATTAAAGTTAGTCCTCACCCACTACCAAAGTACATACCAGATCATCATCTTTTTGTACTTTTAGCAATGATCTCATCTGATCTGCCTTTAGGAAGGTGTAGTGTTTGCATGCAAGAGCTTGTATGATCAAGGACTGGTGTAGTTTATGCAGGATTTATTGAGTAGTTACAATTTGGTGTTGACTCTGCTATAACAGGTACCATTATGTCATGTCTGTGTCTTAATGTCTATAAATATGTTGATACAGTCACACTTGACTATTAAGCAACAGGTGGTGCTTGGTCAAAGATAAAGAAAAAACGGAAGTAATAGGACAGTCAGAAGAGTAATGACAGGAAAGGCACAAATAAATAATATTGTCAGTGTAAGTTTTCGTTTTTTCATACACATACCAATCCTGCTTCCGCGATGATGAGATATGAAACCTCAACTGGCATAGCCCTGAGAATCACTAGATCTTACTTGTAGTTGACTAGTTCATTAGAGTGTGATTTTGGAAAGCTCCTGCTTGTGAGATACCAAGTCAGGAGCTTCTGTAAATATTGCCTGTAATTTGTTCTAAGTCCCTAAAGATAAACTTGTAACAATTTGTCAATGCTGGAACTTTTGGAACTTTTTCCTGTGGTTTGCCCTAGTTTGGCTATATGCCAGGGTCAGGTATTTGTCCACTGGTATGTCCACTAGGTTGTTCAAAATCTTGTACAACTTGGTCACCTGGGCCTAGGCTCGCCTGGATTTGAGTGATTCCCACTGGAGATGGTTCAACATTGCACTGACACTGCTAGTGTTAAGATATTTATTTTTGGTGAATCTAGAAGCTCTCCTCAGAACCATCTCTTTTTTTATTTATTAGATCTTTATTATGTGGGAGCCACACAGTCAAGCAATACTCGAGATCTGGTTGAATCAGAGTGAAATATGCTGCACTTTTTACTTCTTCATTGTTGATTTGGAGGAAACTAAGGTTACAGTTCCTTTTTTTTCACTATCTTGTGTATGTGCCTTTTCCAAGAGAGGTCTCTGGACAATTCAACCCCGAGATATTTTGTTGCCTGGTTATTTGCTAACTTGTGCCCCTTGAGAGTATATTCGGACAAGATTGGTGATTTCTTCCTGTAAACTCTTAGGATGCTGCATTTTTCTGGGTGGAACGACATTCACCAAGTTTTTTCCCAGAAGGCCAGTTGGTTCAGGTCTTCTTCTTGAAGGATCTCACTGTTTTTGGAGGCATTTATTTTCCAGTAGACTATTCAGTCATCTGCAAACAGTCTCATATTGGATCTGAGGCTCGAAGGTGGATCATTAATGAACACATGGAAGAGGATGGGACCCAAAACACTCCCTTGAGGTACCCCACTAACAACCGGTACTGGGTCTGATGTTGCTCTGATGTAACACAGTAGTGGCATAGCTACTGAAAATTCATGTGCATGTACAGTTAATATAGGGTTGCCAAATTAATGTTTCAATTGTAAGAGTAAAAGGGAGTGTATTCTTTCTTTTAATTATTGGATTAATTTTGGATTTGATTTGTAAAACTGTAAGTTCTTTTTCTCATTTTTACCTTGGTTTTTTTTCTTGGGAAATAAATTATTTGTTAAATTTTATAAAGCTTGCTGTCTTCACACTTTCTGTTATGTTTTGTAAGAGCCTAGACAAGTAACAACACAAGTTTGAACTACCAACAATTCTATTGTAAAATAAAATTGCCAGATGGTACATTTTGTCACCAATAAGGAAACAAAAATTATGAATTAGCAACATTGGTGAAGTAAATTGTGATCACTGAATAATTTTTCATACCTTGTTTTCATGTGTGTGTGTGTGTGTGTGATATGGATTTTTTAATGTAGCTTTAATAATTTTTCAGCCATATTGCTATGATGTCTGCAGTGTGGCAGGTTATAGTGACATAGTGACATCAGCAACAGTAACATTATCCTGACAGCAGCCCTAACACTAACCTAGCAAGGCAGCTGCTAGTACCATTTTTTATAAGTCTTTGGTATAACTCGGCTGGGGTTTGAACCCATGACCTCCTGCATCTGAGGTGGACTCTCTAACCACCAGGCCACCCGAACAGTCCCTTATTTTCATACTTTTAAGAAAAAATGTTTGTGCATGAGAAAAATACTTGTATACAAAATTTCAGGTGCTGCAACATGATTGTCTTATATCAGAATTGAAACACGATCACTTCCCCAATATGATAGTAAACTTTTCACACATTATTTTTTGTAAATTAAAAAAGAAACTTATTGTCTACAATAACTCTCTGTGATCTGTCTGATAGGAAATCTCTGATTCATTTTTGGGTGTAACCCTGATGCCATAGTGGTCCAACTTACTGAGTAGTCTTTCATGGGGGCCACGATCGAAAGCCTTACTGAAGTCAAGGATAGCAAGGTCAGTTATGAATTTAGATATAACACAGTAGTGGCATAGCTCTTGAAAATTCATGTGCATGTTTCTAATAAGCTTCTGCTTTCTGCTGAATCCTGAAATCATATGTTTGTAATTGCACTGAACAAAGATTCTCAGATAAATATGGTTAAAAAAAAAACTGACCACCTTTGAAGCACCGATCATTCTGAATAAATACTCAGTAATGGAAATAAAAATTCAATCTATCAGTGTTCTATAATTATTTGATGTTGCTGCCAGAATAACAGATGAGCATTTTGTTTGGTCCTCCAAAGTTGTTCAAGCTGTGAGTTCAATAACACATATGTACCCTTCATCAAAGCAGGGTGACTACTATCTTCAATAAAAATAAAGTACCTTTCTTCAAAGGAAGTCGTCACCAAACTTAAGTAAATGCAATAGAATCTGATGAATTGTTGCAGTGACTGGAAGACATTTGCTGTTATGTGAAAGTTTCCTTTTTTGCTGGAAAAACATTTATGCTTATGATCGCTATCCATAGCAGCATAAAACACAAATTAAATGTCCAGGTTTTGGAAATAATAGATACCTGGCTGTTAGGTTACTTTTTAATTTGTTCATGTTTTTATTTCAAATAGCTGCATCATCTGGGTAGCCTTGGCAAGATGATAGCTGTCTCCAGCTGACGAAAATCTAGACCAGTTCAAGTACATGTACATGCAGCATTTAAACAACTATAGTCACATGCTACTGGTGACAATATTGTAATGAATTATTTAGTGACACATATTTGTTGACAATGGGATATAGAACAAATGAGGACTACAATATTTTATATGCGTTATTTGTGTTTTCTGATGGTATGTGACTGATACATGAATTTTATAATATGTGATCTGTACTTGAATTCATAAATTTCACATACATGTACAGTGCTTAATGCATTGTGGACTGTACTTCAAAAATATAAGTTATCGATATACAAGTGTATTTCAGACTAGTTTTTTCTTTATTTAATCAAAAGCACACATTTTTATCCCCACTTTTATTACCCTCCTCCTACCCTCGTCCATCTTTTTTTAGAATATGCATCATTTTCTTCAGCTGATTTTGTTGGATTATATGGACCCCAGCCACTTTTTTATAGTGGGGTTACTGTTTATAGTTTTTTAGAGCGGTATATAAAGTTGATACATTGTAAATATGAAGAAAATTTGTACAGCATGAAAGGTCTTTGGTAGCAGCAAGTACATATAATGTTAAAACACAATAATTTATTGCTTTAAGAAGTGAGAAGATATAATTTGCTTAAGATGACATTCGGGAAGAGCATAGATGAAATGTTTTAACTGTTGAGAAAAGTGGATGATAGCTGTGATGCAACAATACTGTGCAACTTGATGTATGGAATGTGAACAATTTTCAGCATTAAAATGCTTAATGTTCACCTTTCTAGCACTCTTTTAGCACTGTTCTGCTGCCTTGCTGTCCCCCTCACCCTAAGATGTAGTTTGGCATGAGTGACTTCCCAATAAAAAAAATTACGGCAGCATTTTTGTAAATGTAACTGGTCACTTAATATGGTTATCATGAAAGAAATACCATATATAAGTTAGGGCTTGATCATTATACATTAAGTACAGATCCTTGGGATCATGCATTGCTAGCCATAGGCAAAAATCTACTATGCTTCTTTTTCACTCATGGTTGCCTGTGCAGAGATTTCCTCATTTCACATGAATATGCATGAACACAATTATTGTACTGTAAGCAAGACTAAATTTATTAACCATTGTGACCCATTGTGTTCTTTTATGCTGTTTGAATGAACCAGTGAAGGCTTCTCTTATACGTACTGTCACTTATTAAATGATAAAATCGGTACATTCATTGATATATAAGAAATAGTTAGATTTTGTTGTTTTTGATGTATTTTTTATTGCACGCTCATCAAAAACATATCTCAGCACATGCAGCCATAGGTGATAAAAGAGTGTAGCAGATTGTCTCCCATGGCATGATGTGTTGGGAGTCATATAGGATGCAGAATTTTGTGTGAGGTGCTGTATTGTCTATTGGCATAAACCCTGAGAATATTGATGAGGTTGTACGTACATTTTGCATATCTCCTTTTATTTTCAGTGAATAAAGGCAATTCATCAAAGTGGTAATATATGACAAATCTATGTATAGAACACAGTGACATTATGTAGCATCTTTCAAATAGGACATTTGTGAAAGATGCGTTGTGACAACTGTGATGCGGAAGAGGAGGTTGGAGAAGACACTTCTTTTTGTTCCCAGTGTGGACATGAATTTAAGGGTAAGAAAAAGATTGTTCTTTGTAAAGGAACACGGAAAGATGGAGCTCCATGCAATGCAGAAATTCAGAAGAAATTCAACTTCTGCAAGAAATGTGGTACCAAAGTGGATTCACAGTGGTTTCTCAGTAATGCGGTTACTTGCAGTGGCAAGAGGATGGATGGATCTCTCTGTGGGAATACTCTTAAAAATGAGGATGAGTTTTGCACTTTATGTGGAACTACAGTACCAACTGAAGAAACAGGTTATCTAGATATTTAAACCCATTTTTCTGTGCATCTGTATAATATATATCTTAGATTCTGTACCAAATGGCATCCTCCAACTCCACAATGTCTGTTTCTCATTCCATACCTTCAGGTGTATAAAGTGACAAATTGTTTCCTTTGTTCTGTTGTATCTTCATGTGTAGAAAATAAATACTTGATTTTTAGTTTGCATGTCTAGTTGACAGTTGCAGTTAGTTTGTACTATGGATAATATGCTAATGTTATTATCCCATGGACAAGTGGCTTTTAATGCTAGCAAACCAGATATGTCTCAGTTTGTCAAATAAAATATATGATTAAGCTCTCAGAGCTCATAACAGGGTTGATCCCAGTCATATATCAAATCCTCAAAACTGTATCCCAAAAAAATTGGAGGGGCATATTTTGCTATGTAAGATTTTAGTAAGAAAAGAAAACTTCATAGGTGTTTTAAATGCTTGACAAATATGTTGTGGAATTCATTTCTCTATGAGACAGTCACTTTTAAATATAAAAATCATATCCTGGAGACAATATTTTCACATGTGCACCATTGTGATGTTTGCTCCATTGTTCATTGATGCATGCTTGCAAATACATGAAATTTGGTTTCCATAAAAAAAAATTTAATTATACACATCAACAGTTATCAAAACTTTCTGGATGACTTGCACTTAAGGTGGGGAAGGACCCTGTTGATTTCAGGATGAAAAGGTCATAGGTTGTGGTTCATATGACTGAAAAAGAATTTTTTCCCCCCCACAATAACTCTAGTTATCCATTTTCCACAGCAGGCATGTGCAACCTCATTTTATTTGTCTGTTTACATCATAGGGTGCGGCTTTACAAATTGCTTATCAAGCTCACACATAACAGAGGATCAAGCTCACACATAACAGGAAGTTACACATGCCTTATATAGAGTCAGAAAACTTTGTGGATGGTTGCACTTTGGGTAGAGAACAACCTAGTTGATTTAGGGTCAAAAGGTCAATGGTGAAATTCACTGATTGAAAGAAGAAAAATGGTTTCTGAACAAAAGCACTGGGTTTCATCCATTTACTTTTACCAATCTTTGTTCAGTAGGTTGCACTTTGGGTAAGGTAGAACTCAATAAATTTGTAGTGTGGAAGAAAAAAGACAGTACAGTAGTATTAGCTTCACATCACATGCTTGAAGCAAACTTTATGGATGGGGATGGCTTACACTTGGGGTAGGGAATAAGTCTGTTGATTTTGGGGTCAAAAGGTCAAAAGTCAATGTCATTGACAGAAGTAAGCTAAGTGATTTCTTTTCAAAAATTGCAATTATCTATATGGATGTCTATTAAACTTGGGGTGGCTGCATAATGTGCTATTCACAGTACTCATGGAGTAGATGCTGTGGTTAAGATGGAGACTTAGATTCATTCAGCTGAGATCCATTGACAGAGGCACTTCAGATTATTCTTCCCAACATATCTCAGATCATGTGAAGATTATCCCTTTTTGTGATAAACATAGAAACTCAGATCCATTCAGCTGAGACAGATCATTTTTCACACCACTGATCTGTGGAACATATCCATTTTTGTTCACCCTTCTATCCAGGCATGCAGATCTGTCAATAGTGAAAGTTAGGATTGTGGCAAAGATGAATTAGATGTGAGAGTCTACTGAAATTGATGGTCAGAAACTTTCTTGCATATATGTGAATCAGATTAAGAAAAAGAAAAAGAAACTTTCCTACATATCCATCCCACAAAATCTATGTATTCTACCGTTCAAGTGCTGAAAGTGACAGATCATGTCTTTTGTCCTCTTGTGTTGTTATGGATATGAATCATACTTTATTTTTAAGTTTGTCTACTTTGCACTTGCAGCTAGTTTTGTTTACAGATTAGTAGTTAATTCAAAGTACTTATCCCTTGAACAAATGGTTTTAAAGCTTAGCATACCAGCCATATCACAATGTCGAAAAAAACATGATTATGACTAACAATGCCCACAGCAGGATTTCAAGTTACACATATCCTCCAAACTGTATCAGCTAAAAAATTTGGAGTAGCATATTTCTCCTTCAAATATATTTCTTGATCATATTAATATTAGGAATATTAGCCCCAAATCAAACCCTCTCAAAGAAAAATTT